CATCTTCATCCCTGAAAGTGACTGCTGGCCTGCAGATGAGTGTAAACTGCCGAGTCTTGGCCTGAAGATGTTGCTCTTCTGTGCTGGGCCAAAGAGCAACATCATCAGGCCAGGAGAACTCTGTGGTTTACACTCATCTGCAGGCCAGCAGTCACTTTCAGGGATGAAGATGTGCTCATCCTTGATAGAGAGAAGTGTTGGTTTGAGAGAGGAGTAAAGGAAGCCATCTTTGTGATGAGAACTCATCCATCATTAAACAGGGACAGAGGCCTCTGTGTCCAACTGTAGCCCTCTTACAATGCTGTTATTGCTGGTATCTCTCAGCCCCCTGTGAATAGCAAACAGCCTAGAGCACTAACGATCCATTGTTAGGCTGATGATGGTCCTCCTTTATCATGTTAACAGCTAGTTCTGGATGTCAGCAACAAACTGGTTGATCCACTATGAAAAGAGACTATTTGAAACTAAGTTTGTTGCAGCTTCTCAAACTGACAGTCTTTTGGATTAAAGACTAAACGTTTCAACAAGTTGTTTTTTTTTTTAATCTGTCCAGAGGACCTGACTTAACTTTTTTAGAATTTCTACCTGGATTATTGAGGATATTTTGTGTATACCCTTCATTACTCCAATAAATTATCTGAATATTAAAATCCTTGTATTACAATATTTTATTTAAACTTTATTTTACCAGGTAAAGTTCCGTTGAGATTAAGACCTTTTTTTTTGTTATATGAATAGCCAATACATATAAATAGTCAATAAGTGAAAACTCAGTTAGACGTGTGCAAACAACATGCATTCAAAGTGCGCTCAATTGAACTCAGTCTTGGTGGTTTGCGTTAATCAGGTGGTGGTGGCCTGGGATGGTATCAAAATTCCCGGCCTGGATTATTGTCCCAGTCCGCCCCTGATCTCAGCTCTCTGCCTCCTCTGCTCTCAGCCACCTGCATGTGTTCTTGGCCATGCCCACTTCTCTGCTCTGCTTGGAGAACAGCTGATCAGATGCAGCAGGAAGCTTACCCTGCAACTCTGGGCTGCACAAAGGTGCAGCAGATGCTATGAAAAACCACGATAGAGGGAGTCCGTGATCAACAAACCACGAAGTAGCGAGGGACTACTGTATATGCAGCGGTCAACAGCTGGAAAGTCGCTGTTCATGTATATAAAGCATGTGAAAGTTCTGAATGTGACATAAGTTGTTTGACTCTGTTCTGTGGTTGAAAACGTTTCATGTCCCATTTGGAGAGCCTTCCCATTCCAGAACTAGAGTCTGGAGTTGTAAGTTTTAAACAACATGAGATGCAGCTCAATTCAGCTGGAAATGATCTCCCTCCCTTCTGAGTCATTAGTCTCCGTTTTCTTGGTTGCGTGCATTAAGGTGTGATTTTAGAGGAAATTACTGTATCTACAGTCTGAAGATCTTTTTAAATGTGTTTTTGTTGTTTTCTTCTCTTCCGTCCTCCTGGGAACATGTTTGAGCTGATGGTGTGGAGTCCTGATGACAAAGTTTGTGTTCCAGTGGGTGATGAGTCCAGCAGAAGGTGCTGGTGTGTGTGAGCAAATTTCCTGCAAACTTCATTACTGGGGCTCTCATCTCTTTCCATGTCGACCAAAGAATCCTCAAATGCAGACAGAAATAGTCAAAATTTAGGAGACTGATGATGTGAGGGAGTATGAGAAGACCTTTTTCATCAAATGCGAAAAAAACAACTTCAGAGGAGCAAGTTTCAGATTTCAGCTTCCTAAAACTTACAGTGGAGCATTAATCCTGACAATCTGTTTGACTCTAGCTCTACACCTTTGTGCATGTGACCAAAACATATGAGCCAGGCAAAAAGACACTAATGACCCTTAGGAGGAGAGTACGATTAATGCATGTGAATCTAGCTGCACAAACTGAGCATCTCAAGCAGCTTAATGCTAACAAATCCACACTCGTTATTAAGAAACGTACACAAGATGGGAAGAGTGTAGGGGTTGAACAAGTATATAATTTTTAAACTCGACATTAACATAATAAAACCCGAGTAGAACTCGAGTATTTGATGACGTCATAGATCTCAAGATACAAAAATAAATAAATAAATAAAACTGCAAAAAAGGCTAATTATTTACAAAAAAAGACCAACAAAACATTGGGAGCGTATATTATGCTCCTACCATTTATCATACTGCAAATAAGTCACAGGAAAAACTAAACTATTAGTTATTATTATTAAACTGCAAGCGTGAAGAAACATGCAGCACGTCAAAAACGAAACTTAACGTGGGGGGGGGGGGTCGACCACCCCGCACCACTGCCAGTTGTGGTGCGCATTAAGTTTAGTCTTAGAGATTAATATGTTTATAGATTTTTTTAAAATAGGTTTAGAGATTAATATTTTTTGCTTTTTGTTTATGAAACAAGGTCAGAGGAACCAGGTCAGAGGAAGCTGGCTCTGGTTCGGTGGATAGGACCTGGTGTTACACCATATTCTGTGACCTGCAACAGTGCAACACCGCCCCCTACGGTCATACGGTGGTCACATAATATGATGTCACTACGGTTACTCGACGTTACATTTTTAACCTCGATAGATGTCCTAGCAATCGATGTGTAGATTACTCGAGTACTCTGTTAATGCCCTAGAAGAGTGTTCAACTAAAGAATAGTAATCCAGTTGTTTTGTTGTTTTTATTATTTTGGAGGGAATTTTTGAATGTGGGATAAAATAAAGTTATCACTTTGTTCAGTTTTCTGTATATTGGTCCCAGAGTAAGATAAGAACAGCATCGATCCTTCTGCTGCATGTGAAACTGGTGGCAGCAAGATTTATTTACACCAAAGCTGAACAGAAACAAATCTGTCAACCATTCTGTCCCTGATATCATAGGTGTTACAATCAGCTTTAATCCTCCATATTATCTGGGCTGCCAAGATTCAACATCTGTTCATTCGTCTTGCCTCTGACAAGTTCATCGTGACAAAAGGACAGGAAACTGAAACTGCAGCAACACTCCACCACAGGTTCAACGTCATGGAGTTGTGATTGATCGAGCCTCAGACAAAGGAAGTCTGTCTAGTTCTTCTGTCTAAATCAGGCTGATCACATCCAGAGCTAACGTCAAGAGAGAAAATTAGCATCACTCATCAGATCACATTCTAAGGAGAGTGAGGTGTGAAAGGGTAATGTGTGCATGTTTCTGTGTAAACTGATTAAACATACAGAGGATGAACTAGTCACTCAGTGTTGATGAGATAGTGAATGCCCACCCCCAATGTCACATGTCATTGGATGTCGTTCCTTTGCTTTTGCGTCCAGGCAGAGGGAAAGACGACTTGCTTTGGGGCTGCGTGAGGCGGCTGGTCAGATGAGTGAAAGGTTCAATGAGCGAGCTGCGTTCTGCAACGCTCACCTCCCACAGCTTCACCTTCTCTCCCCGGGCCCACTGCTGCGCCACCTCCTGGTCCACCTGACGACACTCCTGCAGGTCGCTTTTGTTCCCCAGCACTATGACAGTTACCTTCAAAGACATTGGGCAGAATTCTTTAGGCACAGCACAACTGGATCCAGAGGACTGCAATGCAATTACAAAGTGATTATTAACTATAAATGTTTTTTATGGCTTTTTTAAATAAATAAACAAAAGTGTAGTTTCATGTCTAATAAGAATATGTCAAAAACTCATAGTAATCACAAGGTGCAGACCAACAGTTAACATTGATACTAATTCCATATTTAAATAAAAGCTTATTAAATTAATAGTCATTATCACTGGAAATTTATACACAGATCAAATATATCCATTTACTAAAATCAGTATAATTACTTGTTTACAGGAAGCTGTCCTTCAGGATTCAGCAGAGAAAACGTGAAAAACAACTTTACTGCAACATGTTTCTTTCTACTATATAAAACTACAGCAGCTGCAGACAGCAGTGATCCAGAGGAAGAGATTAGCCAAAAATTTCAATTCAGTTTATTTATATAGCTCCAAGTCACAATAGAAGTTATCTCAGTGCACTGAACAGAAACATTTATATGTATAAATAATAATTTAACATTATTTATCTGAGGATCAGACTGCTTTGAGTTTAACTCCCATCACAGAACTCTCATCTTGAGCAAGCATGAAGGCGACAGTGGAAAGGAAAAACTCCCTCATGAGGAAGAAACCTTTAGCAGAACCAGGCTCAGGACAAGCGGCCATCTGCTTCGACCGGCTGGGTTTGGTAGGAACAGATACACAATGGCAGGTCAAGAATCACATGTTAAGATAGAAATAGTATCAAATGAAAACAATTCAATTTTAACAATTAATTTAAGGAAATGAGGTCAATTTGTCCTCTAGTAGTCTAAGCTTAAGACAGCATGACAAGCCAACCCTAACTATAGGATTTATTAAAAAGGAAAGTCTCAAGTCCAGTCTTAAAACTGGACAAAGTGTCAGCCTCACAGACAGAAACTGGAAGTTGGTTCTACAAGAAAAGAGCCTGATAATTCAGTTCAATTCAGAAAAAATACTTTATTAATCCCAAAGGGAAATTAAATGTTGTTGTAACACATCATCCTGGTTTCATTAAGAGTTGTTATAAATGCTGGTGGCTGTGTAGATTCCGATCCGTCCACCAGAACCCAGCAGGCCTCTCGGTCCTCCTGGGCAGCAGGACCACCTGAATGTTGGGCAGAACTCCTCCCTGAGCGATGGCCACTCCTCTCAGCTCCTCATCATTGCAGGCAGCCAGCTGCAGGTGTCGGGGGATGATCCTGGTCTTCTTGTCATGAGTCAAGTTTCCTGCCAGCTCCAGGATCTCAGCAGTCAGTCACTCGAGCACCTCCGCCAGGTAGACAGATGCATCCACGGTGCCTCCTTTACAACTCATTTGGGATTTGGGGCTGTATTTGAGGTAATATTTGAGCTTTGAGATGTTATTCAGCTGCTCCCAATTGTAAAAATCCCCTTGTTGTTATGGTTATGCTTCATAACAAATGTCCAAAAGTAAAAGGGTTTCAGTAAAAATCCTTCCAGCTGCACAGCATCCAATACCAGATGAAGTAATCATCGGGGGAAAAAAGCCATTTTCATTCAAGCCATTTTACATCCAGGAAAAAAGAATAAATAAAGTTTTCAAAAACAACATCCCAGAATGAAAGTAACAGCTACTCCAACATGCAGCCACCTTGAGCGGCGCAATTCTAGTTATTCTAGAATAACTGAAAGACATTCTGCTTTTGGAAACTCTAGGAACCACAAGTAAACCTGCAGTCTGAGAGTGAAGTGCTTTGTTAGGAAAATATGGAACAATAAGATCTTGAATATAAGATGGAGCTAGGTTGTTGAGAGCTTTGTAGGTTAGAAGTAAGATGTTTTTAATTCAATTCTGAATTTGACAGAGAAAGAAATGGGTTTGTAAGAAGACTGAAAAGTGAAGAGAGTAATATAGAGATTTTTTTTATTTATTTACCCTTTATTTATGCAGGTAGTCTCATTGAGCCACGAGAACTCATTTTCAAGAGAGACCTGTTTATTGAGCAGATGGAGGTTAAGGGCCTTGCTCATGGGCCCAGAGTGGGGCGAATGAGGGTGGGGGCATGTGTGGGTGCTTCACCTACCCCACCCACATTTTTGATGTTGTCGGTACCAGGGCTTAAACTGACGATCTTCCGATCACAGGCCCACCTTCTCTAACCTCTGCAGCACCACTCCCGCCCAAAAAGTGAAAGTTTCTAATGATATTCTCATGACCTCTGACAATGGACAGGTGTCTACACTGGTCCTGTTAGACCTCAGTGCTGCATTTGATACAGTTGATCACAATATTTTACTAGAGACTTGAATATGATATATGGATTACAGGAACGGCTCTAAATTGGTTTAAATCATATCTATCTGATAAGAGTCCAGTTTGTAAATGTAAATAATGAATCTTCTTCATTCAACAAAGTTAGTCATTGAGTTCCTCAGGGTTTAGTGCTTGGACAAATACTATTTACTTGTATATGCCTTCATTAGGTAATGTTATTAAACAGCATGGGATAAATTTTCATTGTTATGCTGATGACACACAGTTATACTTGTCCATGAAATCCAATTAATCTAATCAGCTACTTAGACTACAAGCATGTCTCAAAAGACACAAAAACCTGGATGACCCCATATTTTCTGCTTTTGAATATGAGATGCAGCATATGAGCTGAATTAATTATTAATTGAATTAATTTTGAATATAAGATGCAGCATATGAGCTGTACAAGGACTTGTACTACTACGGTCTACTGGCAAGACAGAGGGATCAGGCTGGAAAGAACGTGCAGCAGGTTAAGCTTGTTAAAGATAGAAGTTTTGTTCTAAAAAGCGAAGTGAGTGTGCTGGAAAGATGTAATGAATACTTTGAAGAAGTAATTAATAAAATTAATGAAAGGGGTGTCAAGTAAAGGTCATATAAACTATGGACCAGGAAATGAGAAAGATTAGTGAGGATTAAGTTTGGAAAGCTTTGAAAAGTATGACGATAAGGAAGGTAGTTGAACCAAATTGCATTCCAGTGGAAGTATGGAAATGTCTAGGAGATATGGCAGTGAGGTTTTTGACTTGATTATTTAATGGCAACAACAAGGGTGATGTACAGAGTTGTGGCAACTACAGGGGACTTAAGAGTCACAATGAAGATCTGGGAAAAAGTTGTTGAAGCTAGACTTGGACAAGAGGTGAATTTTTGTGAGCAGCAGTATGGTTTCATGCCAAGAAAGAGCACCACAGATGCCATCTTTGATTTTAGGATACTGATGAAGTATGGTATGGTATAAAGTTTATTCATTTTAAAAATACAAAACAGTTTCATAACTATATAAAAAATACAAGAGATTTAAAATGAAAGGCAGCAGAAAGAAGAAAAAAAATCTTATTATATCTGCCCCTTTTTTCAAACAATTAGTTCAATCATAATAATTTTCAAATGACAGAACAAAATGAATAACTTTCTAATTTTTCTAATTCTAATACAAAAACACACTAAGCTACTTCATTTTTTTTTTTTTTTTAACAATTCAGCTTTGATCTTTTTCTTAAATGACTTGGCATTTTTAACATCACTCTCTAGACTATTCCACAATCCAATTCCTTGGATTGAGGTAGACCTTCCTTTCAGACTAGTTCTGAATTTTGGTTTGACAAATATCTCTATCCCCTTAAGATTATAACAACTTTGCCTTTTAACAAAATTTCTTTGGATATTTAATGGTAATGTGTTATTTTGAGCCCTATACATAACTGATAAAATACTATAATCTACCAAATCATGGAACTTCAATAACTTCAGTTGATAAAATAATGTGCTTGATGGGTGACTGTAATGCTTTCTAGTGCTAATTTTTACAGCTCTTTTCTCTAAAATAAAAATAGGCTTTGTAAATGTTTTACACGCTTTCCCCCAAACATCAATGCAATAGATTAAATGTGGAACAATGATTGTGTCATGCAACATATACAGAGCTTTATCATTTAATAATTCCCTGACTTTGTATAGTACTGCAATAGATTTAGCTATTTTTGTTCTTACAGAATTTATGTGATTTTTCCATGTTAGCTGTTCATCAATGATTACACCCAAAAATTTCATCTCATTAACTCTACAAATCTCAACACCCTCAAATTTAAATGGATCATCTACAGTTCTCTTTTTGTTACTAAATATCACGTATTTAGTTTTATCTAAATTTACTGATAATTTATTAAGTTTAAACCAAGTTTGTATTTTATCAAATTCTGTCTTCATCAATTCCAACATCGTTTTACATCTTTACCCAAATAAAAAAATGTGGTGTCATCTGCAAAAAGGACACATTTGAGAAGTGGTTAAGAACCCCATGGGAGTTAAGTGGTTAAGTGGAATTGGATAAAGCATATGACAGGGTGCCAAGAAAGGAAGTGTGGTATTGCATGAGGAAATCTGGAGCAGCAGAGAAGTACGTTAGACAGGTACAGGACAGGTATGAGAACAGCAGGACAGTGGTGAGGTGTGCTGTAGGGGTGACGTATAGCTTCAAGGTGGAGGTAGGATCGGCTCTGAGCCCCTTCTTGTTTGCTCTGGTGCTTTATCTGCTTCTGTACCTCTTTCCTGTGGGGTCCCGCAAGGCTCCATTCGTGGACCTCTTCCGTTTTCATTGTATCTGTTCCCCTTGGGGTCTATCCTGAGGAAACATGGTCTTTCGTTCCACTATTATGCTGACAATTCTCAGATTTATCTACCTTTAAAACCTAAAAGTTCCTGCTCCATTCGCCCTTTGCTAAAATGTCTTGATGACATCAAGACTTGCATGGCTACAAACTGATCCGACCTTGAAAAATTAGTCCATGCATTGGTTACAACCTGGCTGGACTACTGTAACTCACTTTATGTTGGGGTAAGTCAGGCTTCCCTTTCACGTCTCCAGCTTATCCAAAATGCTGCAGCCCGGCTATTAACAGGAACTTTTAGGTTTGAACACATTTCACCCGGTTCTGTCCTCCCTTCAATGGCTTCCTGTGCAAGTCAGAATTGATTTTAAAATTCTCTGGCTGACACCTCAGTTTGCAAATGTCCTCTGTCAGAGACTGAGACCTCACAGTCCAAGAAAGCCAACTTGCCATTTTTTACATCTTCTCGTGTGAACTTGATGTATTTATCCACAGAGTTGATGTGGTCAGTAAAATGTTAGACTTCCTGAGATTTAATTTTTAACCCGGGTGTCGTCAACATACCTGAACCAATGACTTGGTGTTGTCCCTGAAAATGACGTCAAGGCTCTCTTTTCTACCTCCTCCATGTACAGGTTGGCAACAATCGGAGAAACTGGAGACCACATAGCACACCCATGTTTCTGCCTATAATTTTGCCATTGTATGGAAACATACAGTGCTGACATTGTGATGACATTATTATTATTATAATATTGCTCCCCATATGTGAAGTAGGTTGACTGCAGGCACAGTTTCAAGAGTTGACACAGTTGTGTGTCCCAAAGACTGGTTCTGTACCACAGAGCAGACAGAGTACCCACTAACTCAGGAGCCAGGCAGAAGGAGAAATCCCACACTAGACAGGCTCTAGAGCAATGTGGATATCCTAACTGGGCCTTCCTGAAATCAGAGAAGAAACCCAAACAGGACTCCAGTCAGCCATCAGGTGAAAAGGAAGAACCCAGACCAGTGGTCATTCCGTATGTTGAGGGAGTATCAGAGAAACTGAGACGTTTATTTTCTAAACACAACATCCCAGTGGCTTTTAAACCACAAAATACATTACGGCCAAGACTGGTTCATCCCAAAGATCCAGTCCCCCGGCACAGAGTAATGCTGTGTATGCTGTTCAGTGTCAGGAGGCTGTGATCAGTCTTACATATCAATCAATCAACTTTATTTATATAGCACATTTTAAAAACCACAAGGGTAGCCAAAGTGCTGCACAATAAAACAATAAAAACAAACAAAACAATAAAAACATACAAAGCATACGCAAAGAAACATAAAAAAACATTCACATACCAGTTTCACAGCAAGTGTATTAAAAAGCCATAAAAGATAAGATCACGTGTTAAAAGCCAAAGAATAAAAGTGTGTCTTTAAAAGAGATTTAAAAACAGGAAGAGGAAAGGCCTGTCTGACACTCAAGGGTAAATTGTTCCACAACCTGGGAGCAACAACAGCAAACGCTCTGTCACCTCTGAGCTTCAGCATAGTTTTAGGGACTGTCAGCAGCAGCTGATCAGCTGATCGTAGGGATCGGGGTGGACAGTAAGGCTGAAGCAGCTCAGACAGATATGGTGGGGCAAGGTTGTTCAGACATTTAAAAACAAACAGCAAAAGCTTAAAATTAATTCTGTAGTGCATAGGGAGCCAATGAAGGTACGCCAGGATGGGAGTAATATGCTCGCGCCTACGAGCCTGAGTTAACAGGCGAGCAGCAGAGTTCTGCACAAGCTGCAGACGAGCAAGAGACGTCTGGCTAATGCCTGCATACAGCGCATTACAGTAGTCAAGACGAGCTGTGATAAAAGCATGGATTAATTTCTCCAAGTCAGGTCTTGGTAGGATTGGTTTCACTTTTGCTATTTGGCGGAACATAGGGGAAACTAAACAGCCACTGGCCAAAAAGATGGCCCAGCACAGAAGTTCAACATCATCAGGCCAGGATTCTGCGGTCTACACTCATCTCCAGGCCATCGGTCACTCTTTCAGGGATGAAGATGTTCACATCCTGGACAGAGAGGAACAATGGTTTGAGAGAGGAGTAAAGGAGGCCATCTTTGTGAAAAGAAATTGTCCATCATTAAACAGGGGTGGAGTCCTACGTGTTCAATTGACCCCCTCTTACAATGCTGTTATTGCTAGTATCACTCAGCCTCCTGTGAATAGTAAACAACCATCAGTGTGCTAATGATCCATTGTTAGGCTGATGGTCTGGTTTTGGTTGTCAGCAGCAAAACTGGTTGATCCACTCCGAGAAGGTGCTATTTATAAGACTGAGCTGAATACAGCACCTCAGACTGAGGAAGTCTTTAAGATGAAAGACGAAGCGTCTCTACTATTTTTTTTTTCTTTGCATCTGTCCAGAGGGCCTAATTTAACTTTTTTTTTTAGATTTTTCTACCTGGATTATTGAGCATGCGTCAGGATATTGAAAGAGTGCGAGTCATTTTGAATTTTAAAACTCAACGAGACACCATGTGGATCAGTATCAGTTCCTACAACACTGATCCACATGGTGTGGCTCTCAACACCATAAAAGAAAGAAAAGGGCGAATACTTTTTTAGTTGTCTAAGAATTTGAACAGTATCACCTCCTTCTTGTCCCTGGACTTGTCTATTTCCTTCTTGAGAACATCCACTCTCTTGAAGGACTCCAAGCTGTCCACACTGTAAACCAGGACAAAGCCGTCTGCCACAGAGTAGTAGTGCTTGGGGAGGTCTTGTCCTTCATGAAGGCCTTTGGTGTCATAGAGTCTCAGCTGCTCTTTCAGGCCTCGGTCAGTTTCCACAGAGGCCACGTACACGTCCTCCAGGGTCTCACTGGACTCGGAACCTAGGCAGGCACAACCTATTATGAATAAAAACATCATGGTGGAGCAGAACATCTACTGGTTTGTTATGAAGACATCCAGCTGCAGCACTTCTTACCTACTCTGTGGTTTCCGTACAGCAGCTGTTCCACAATGGCAGTTTTTCCTACAGCTGCATGGCCACACACCACGACTTTACACCCCTTTCCCATCTCGAGTCTGAAGACAAAATGTCTCCTTCAGTTTAACCAGCTACATCAACATAAACACGGTCGGAAGCTCCACTGGCTGCATCAGTGATGTCTGACAGGTTGGTTAAAAGCTTAGCCCAAACGCAGACTGCATCATAGACAGTCTCGTTTGAAAACACAGTCGAACTATCGCTACATTAGGAAAGATCACTAACCTGGGGAGCTGGATATCTAGCCGTCTTTAAATGCCGTAAAAGTGAAACCTAGAACCGGCGATTCCATTCTGTTCATTAAACTAGACCGTCCTTTCACGCGCATGCGTACAATACTACTTCCGGAAACAAGTTGAACAACAAAAACATTTAAAACGTTTGCGCGCGTAGACCCCCCCCCCCCCCCCATGTCCCCTCCGGGGCTACGTACATTGTTATTGTGTGTATACTAATAATTAAAATGATGTGTTGCACAAAATTTCCCTGTAGTCTGCAAACACTGTCATGCTCACTAAACCAGAGAAACACTGGACTGGGCAATAACTGCGTAAGGAGAGATGTTTTGCCGCCATCTTGAGAAGAGCTTTGCATTTCACTTCATGTTTCCATGTGGAAGTCGCACAGTAATAACGCCTGGTGTGTGCTGTATGTTGTGTTTTACTTAAATGAACGTATATAATGCGTGGCGTGAAAACAGAAGAGAAGTATTCTGCAGTAAGCCTCACAACAAGGCATGACCTACTAATAAATCTATGTGCAAGACACCGTTTACAAACTGTAGTTTATCCTATTTTATGCAGGAACACAGGTTCAGAAAACAGCGACAAGCTAAACAACAGCGTTGTGCAAAAGTATAGACATTTAATATTGGTCAATATAGCATTTTTTCAGACTGGTTTTCCATTACTGAGAAAGAGGTAGTTGTTATTTTGTAGCCTGCAAAACAATAAAAAGGTACTTTCTTAGCTAAGTACTTCATTTTAAAAAACTACCTTTATTTTTCCAAAAAAGTTCAATCTGGTCCTCTGGACATTCAAAAAAAAGCAAAAAAATATAGAAACGTTTCGTCTCTCATCCGAGAGACTTCCTCGGTCTGAGGTGCTGTATTCAGCTCAGTCTCCTAAATAGCACCTTCTCAAAGTGGATCAACCAGTTTGCTGCTGACAACCAAAACCAGCTGATCACATGGTCAAGAAAATGAATCAGACACCACTCTGAGCAGCAGGACCACGCTTTCCACAGAACAACTGTGTCAACTCTTGAAACTGTGCCTGCAGTCAACCTACTTCACATATGGGGAGCAATATTATAGGCAGAAACATGGGTGTGCTATGGGGTCTCCAGTTTCTCCTATTGTTGCCAACCTGTACATGGAGGAGGTAGAAAAGAGAGCCTTGACGTCCTTTTCAGGGACACCACCAAGTCATTGGTTCAGGTATGTTGACGACACCTGGGTTAAAAATTAAATCTCAGGAAGTCCAACATTTTACTGACCACATCAACTCTGTGGATAAATACATCAAGTTCACACGAGAAGATGTGAAAAATGGCAGATTGGCTTTCTTGGACTGTGAGGTCTCACTCTCTGACAGAGGACATTTGCAAACCGAGGTGCACCGCAAACCCACCCATACAGACCAGTATTTGCAGTTTGACTCCCATCACCCTTTAGAGCACAAGTTAGGAGTTATCAAGACTCTGTATCACAGAGCAGACAGCGTCCCCACTAACTCAGGAGCCAGGCAGAAGGAGAAATCCCACACAAGACAGGCTCTAGAACAATGTGGATATCCTAACTGGGCCTTCCTGAAAGCAGAGAAGAAACCCAAACAGGACTCCAGTCAGCCATCAGGTGAAAAGGAGGAACCCAGACCCAGACCAGTGGTCATTCCATATGTTGAGGGAGTATCAGAGAAACTGAGACATTTATTTTCTAAACATAATGTCCCAGTGGCTTTTAAACCCCAAAATACATTACGGCAAAGACTGGTTCATCCCAAAGATCCAGTCCCCCGGCACAAACAGAGTAATGTTGTGTATGCTGTTCAGTGTCAGGAGGGCTGTGATCAGTCTTACATCGGAGAAACTAAACAGCCACTGGCCAAAAGGATGGCCCAGCACAGAAGATCAACATCATCAGGCCAGGACTCTGCGGTCTACACTCATCTCCAGGCCAGCGGTCACTCTTTCAGGGATGAAGATGTTCACATCCTGGACAGAGAGGAACAATGGTTTGAGAGAAGAGTAAAGGAGGCCATCTTTGTGAAAAGAAATCGTCCATCATTAAACAGGGGTGGAGGCCTCCGGGTTCAACTGTCCCCCTCTTACAATGCTGTTATTGCTAGTATCACTCAACCCCCTGTGAATAGTAAACAGCCATCAGTGTTCTAATGATCCATTGTTAGGCTGATGGTCCTTCTTGACCATGTGAGCAGCTGGTTTTGGTTGTCAGCAGCAAACTGGTTGATCCACTCTGAGAAGGTGCTATTTATAAGACAGAGCTGAATACAGCACCTCAGACTGAGGAAGTCTCTCGGATGAGAGACGAAACTTTTCTATATTTTTTTGCTTTTTTTTTTTTTTTGAATGTCCAGAGGACCAAATTGAACTTTTTTGGATTTTTCTACCTGGATTATTGAGTATGCATCAGGATACCTTTATTTTTATTATTTCACACGCAGCTACTGTATCTATTTTTATTAGAGGCATGAAGTTGGACCTTTCTGAGGAGCTGATGGATGTGGCAGCCATGCATGGGACCACAACAGGGCATTTTTGATGCAGTTGAGAAGTCCATAAATTAAAATTCAATGTCCTGAGAAAATCTGTTGGGATTAACTACAGACGGTGCACCTGCTATGTGTGGATGAAAAGCGGGCTTGGTTGGACTTATAAAGGAGAAAATGCAAAAAAGTAACTGTCACACGCCTCCGATAACGTATCTTTGTATTATCCATCAAGAAGCTATGTGTGGGAAGGTGCTGGGATGGATGATAGTGACCATCAGTGAAACAGTGACCTTCATTCAGGCACGTGACCTTAATCACAGTCAGTTCCAGCTGTTATTGCAGGAGATGGTCTCGGAGCACAGAGACATGCCGTACCATTCAGTTGTACAGTGGATGAGCAGGAGCAAAGTCCTCAAACGATTTTTTGAGCTTAGGGAAGTAGTTGCTCTTTTCATGCAGAGTAAAGGAAAACCCATGTCTGAACTGTCAGATCCAAACTGGCTGTGTGACTTTGTTGTGGGACATAACTGAGCATCTCGCTCAACTGAATCAGAAGCGGCAGGGATACAAACAAGTCATCACAGATGTTTGACATAATCACAGCTTTCCAGCTTCAACTTGACCTGGATGTACCAAGTGAAACAGGACAATCTTGCCCACTTTCCTGTTTGTCAAATTATCTCAGCCTTATTTCCTGGTACTTTTCCATGTACTCAGTTGGCTACCAAACTTAGCCGCTTAATGAATGAGTTTAATCAACGCTTCTCTGACGTTAGAGTACAACACTCAGGCTTTGCCATCTATACCAATCTTTTTACCACCGATGTCTGCACTACATCCCAACACCTTCACATGGAGTTAATAGAGCTTCTGTCAGGATTTTCAGGCAGGACAGAAACGAACCCAATACTTGCAGGCAGGGTCTCAGACTCAGCAGGTAGAAAAAGAAATACTTTTAATAATAATAAATTAAAGGGCTGACGTGGCAGCATAAACTCACAAAAACAGAATCGGGATGGGATCAAGGCAGGATTAGACAGGACAAGGCTATATCCAATGACGACGCAACAAAGGACAAGACTCACAGACAGACTTATATACACAGACAGGACAGGACATAATTACAAACAGCTGGGACGAGACAAGGAGAAATCAATCAGGATTAAATGAGACACTCAAGGGTGCACTGACAGAGAAGGCCCACAAGATGGCACCATCCCTACAACTTCAAAGTGATAGTGGCCTGAGGGCAAAGTCCCAGGATGCTGCAATCCAGGACTTTTACCATCAAATGCCCCCTGGTTTGATGCCACAGCTTCGACTTCATGCTGCCGTGTTCTGTCTATGTTTGGGAGCATGTATATGTGCAAACAGATGGATCTAAACAAAAACAAGCACAGATCACGCATAACTGATGACAGCCTCCATGCTGTTCTACGGATTGCCTCAACACAAGACCTAAAACCAGACATTGACATAAAAAGGTGTCAGAAAACATATAGGTAAGAATTATTAAAAACCTTATTAAAATATAATAAAATGTATTTCAACCAAGAGGAAGAATAGTTAAACTGTGTGCAATTTAATTATTGTGCTTGCATTTTGTTTTGTGTTTATTTTCAGAACATGATCAATAGATGAGGATGGTGTGATCAAGGACAGGTAGCATCTCCTCACCAACTTCACCTAAAAACTTGACCAGCTGTGAACTGAGACAACCCTAATGTAGTTATTTTGAGTTTATTATACTTATTAAATGTATTTTGTTATATTATGTTACATTTACAGCAATGTATTTTGTACACGGAGCCGGGTTGATGTGTTTATGCAGGTAAATATTTTCTATAATAAAACCATGTGTCAATAGTTGGATGTATGACCCTTGCCAGGCTGTGCAGACACTTGTTTTCTGTAAAATGCTGCACCTGTCACATGTTCTTACAGCTCACAATTGTTAGTTGGATGGTTATTCTGCCCCTCTTAACTATGACAAAAAAAGTTTTGAACAAAATTAATGTCATAACTTCTTATTTTTCCTTATTCACTTGGAAAGTTTGATCATTGATTTATATAAAGTAATATGGGTTTTATAACTTGACAAATTAAATGGTTTTATGTTATAATAGAGCAACAAACAGACATATTTTTCTACGCAAATATATATTTGCAAGTTGAATAAGTAAAAAAATTCAGAGTTATTTAACATTAAGCAGTAGTTACATTTATTTTAAATTACATTTAGTTAAATTTAGGGAGGGGTGGCGCCGAGGTTAGAGAAGGTGGGCCTGTGCTCGGAAGATTTCCGGTTCAACTCCCAGTACTGACAACATCAAAATGTGGGTGGGGTAGGTGAAGCACCCACACCTGCCTTCACCCTCATTTGCCCCACTTTGTGCCTTTAAGCAAGGTCCTTAACTCCCACCATATGCGCCACTGGGCACCCTAGATGCAGCTCTCTGCTCCACATTGAGGGCTGTGGTAGCTCAGTGTGGTTGTGTCAGGAAGGGCATCCAGCATAAAAATAATCACCAGGTCTTTGTGCGAGTTAGTTCATTGTGACAACCCCTGAAGAAGGAGCAGCCAAAAGAAGAAGAAAAAAAACCATTTTGTTAAATGTAACTACATTTATACTGTCTTACAGTTACATCTGTCCCTTTGAGGGCAACAATTATGCTGATGTGGCCCTCGGTGGAAATGAGATTGACACCCCTGAAGGAAACACAACTGTTTGTCTGGATGCAGTATTTTGATTATGTTCAAAA